TAGGATGGCCTCCCTTATTGGGCTCAAGGTAGAAGTAGTCAACAGCGGTCTGTGAACGGCAAACGGTGATTGGTGATGACTGAAACTGTGGATGGCTACCCAGGAACAGTTGAATGCTTCTGTTTCACATGTTTCCGATTTTTTAGTTACATTAATTATTTTCATTTTTGTGCTGCAAGTACATGTCCTTTCTTTTTTTTTTAGTTTAGTTACATTTCTGATTGTCACATCCTCTTTTAGTTTCACTGTAACTTTTCTGGAGAAATCCACCAAACTGAGATTCACCCATCAGACTGCCAGATTGTGAAGTATGATTCATCGCTCCAGAGAACCCGTTTCCACTGCTCCAGAGTCCAGTGGCGGCATACTTAACTCCAGCCGATGCTTGGCATTTTGCATAGTGATCTTGGGCATGTGTGCAGGTGCTCAGCCACGGAAAGCCATTTCATTAAACACCTGGGACCGTTTTACAGAAAATTCCTATCTTTTTGTCTTAACTTAAGATCTGACAGGTCAAGATAAGATTTTTCACAAATTTGTATTACAGAAGCAAATCTGATCTTAATTTAGGAATCTTATCTTATCTTACAGCATATTTTCTTATCTCAAGTTAGGAACTCTTAACTTACTCGATCGAAGTCAACAATCAACTGCCATGTCTGCTACGTATCAACCGAGCATATGCAGAGCTTTTGGCGCCAAAACACAGTAATAGCAAGGGAATATTTGCAGTTTAGTCGGTGATTCTTTAAACAAAACAGAAGAGCTTTAAACGCTAAATCCCACGAACTAGAAGTTCTTTTAACACTGGTTGAAAAAGTTAAGCATATTTTATTCAGAAAATTTTCAAGTACATTAATGCATCAAGACAAGGACAGGCAATGGGCACAAAGAGGGGAGAATGCATCTGCAGCGTCGGCAATTTATCAGACTGCAGAATAAATCATCAATCTCACAAGTGAAACAAAAAAAGCTGCTGTACAAGTGAGTGAAATAAGGAAAATGGGTGGTGGGACCAGGTGAAGCTCCTATGGTAAACAGTTTGGACACAAGAATTTTAGGCATTATCAGAACAATACACTACAAAGTTAAGAAAAAAATCAGGTTTTCCTTTTTTTACCTTTTTTTTCGACCTGGGATTACTTTAGGTATTATAGGTGTTATTATTACTGATGCAGGCATTCCTGGCCGTTCTGAGGTGGGACTAGAGTCTGAGCAGGAAGTTTGTAATAGCGACGCCTCAATGGCCACTCCAACTGCTTGACTAACTGCAGTATCATGGCCCGTTGGAGACGGTAGTTGCTAACAAGTGTTTTGTCGTTAAACGCACCACATTGGGTCTGCCAAAAGGCTTTCAATCATTTTACATCTGTAGTCATCACTTTGTATGACAAATAAATCTAAAGCCATTATGCTAGTAAAAGCTAAGGTTGTTCTATGACAGCTGCCTATAAACAACAGGCTCTATTTTCAAGTGAATGTTTTAATGGTAAAACAGAAGCTTTAAGCAGAAGTTAAGACACCTCCGGGGTTGTCTTAAAGTTAAGAAAATATTTTGGGTATTTTGGCAACATAGGATGTTTCTGTGTACCTGTATTCTGTATTTTCTTATTTGGAAATAAAAAAAGATTCTGGATTTCAGAACTGTTGTTCTATAATGGCTTCTGTCCTAACTTCAGTCTTAACTTGACTTAAGATTTTCTTGTTATATGGCCGCTGATGCCCATTTTTTGTGCAGATGGGAAGTTGGGATGCTGTGAAAAATGAAAAAAAAGAAAACCTTTTCTCCTTTGCATGACTGCTTCAAAATACTGTTTTTATTTATAGAAATATTTGTGAAACCTCAGCTTCAGGATGAACTGAGGAGGAGCGGCGTAACATCCACGGTAAAAGTGAAGTCCATGATTAGTAGATCCAGAAGAATCTCTATTTCGCTGTGGGATAAATTCCCCAATTATATTTAGCTGATTAATGATTTGGTGGTGGTGTTCTGGTAGGTAACACCTGTAACCTTTAATAGTAATGAATTTACTGAAGAATTTTGAAACTTCCTTAAATGTCCAGTTTAAATGTATTAAATATAAAATGTAGCTTTGGCTAGGCAGAAATGGTGCAGGCCTGATGTTTGTGTTCCTTTTAGTACATCAGTACTTCAGTTTTTTCAGTCTTAATAAACTTCTATCTTATACCTACAACGTTATATACAATAACTTCTCCACTGTGATCCGTGAGTATATACAGTCAGATAACATATGTGAGCACAGCAGTTACTGAGGTATCCTTGCTCACGTCAAGGATACACAATACTTGAGTAAAACACAGCATAAACACAGTGTTGGCAGCAATTTTCCAGACAGTGCAAGTAGAGCATCAAAGGAGGTGTGTGTGTGTGAGTGGGTTTCAGTTTAGTCCTTGTGAGTTTAAAAACCTGATTGCTTGAGGGACAAAGCTGTTGCCGAGTCTGGCAGTGATGGCACGGACGCTCTGGTACCTTCTGCCAGACGGCAGCAGTGAAGGGATGGATGGGGTCGTTCACGATGCTGGTGGCTTTGCGGATGCAGCGTGTGGTGTAGATGTCCATGATGGAGGGGAGAGAGACCCCGATGATCTTCTCAGCTGTCCTCACTATTCGCTGTAGGGTCTTGCGGTCGGAGGCGGTGCAATTCCCAAACCAGGTGATGATGCAGCTGCTCAAGATGCTCTCCACAGTCCCCCCCATGGTGATGATGGGAGGGATGAACTTTCTTCAGTCTCCGCAGGAAGTAGAGGCGCTTCTGGGCTCTCTTGGCTATGGAGTTGGTGTTGAAGGACCAGGTGAGGTTCTCTGTGATGTGGACACAAAGGAACTTGGTGCTCTTGACGATTTCCACAGCAGAGCCATTGATGTTCAGGTGGGGGTGGTCACCTCACAGTCTTCGGAAGTCAACAACCATCTCCTTAGTTTTGTCCACATTCAGAGACAGGTTGTTGGTTCTGCACCAGTCCGTTAGCCGCTGCACCTTCTCTCTGTATGCTGACTCATCATTCTTGCTGATGAGACCCACCCCAGTCGTGTCATTAGAGAACTTGATGGTGTGGTTTGAGCTGTACTTTGCAGCACAGTCATGAGTCAGCAGGGTAAACAGCAGTGGACTGAACACACAGCCCTGAGGGGCGCCGGTGCTCAGTATGGTGGTGCTGGAGATGTTATTACCTATCTTGACTAACTGAGGTCTCTCAGTCAGGAAATCCAGGACCCAGTTACAGAGGGAGGTGTTCAGGCCCAGCAGGCTACGTTTTCCAATCAGCTGCTGAGGGATGATGGTGTTGAATGCTGAGCTGAAATCTATGAACAGCATTCTGACATGGGTGTCTCTGTTGTCCAGGTGGGTGAGAGTCAGGTGGAGTGTGGTGGAGATGGCGTCGTCGAGTGAGCGGTTGGGGCGATATGCAAATTGCAGTGAGTCCAGTGAAGGGGGGAGCTGGTCTTTAATGTTCCTCATGACGAGCCTCTCAAAGCACTTCGTGATGATGGAAGTGAGTGCAAGGGAGTAGCTTTTAAAAAGAGGGTCCAAAATGATATTTGGAGTGTAACTTATTGTTGTTTGTTTGATTTACAGAAATACAGCCACAAGCAGCCTTAACTGGGGTCAGAGCAAAACATCTCCAGCATGAGAGCAGGAGCAGTTTGGGGCTGTTTGCATTAACAGGGCTTATGTCTGGTCGTAAAGTTAAGTCGGTTGTAACTTTTTAGGCCTAACTTTAAGATCGTTCCACCAACTGGACCTGGTGTAACTTTTCGCCTAACTGGAGCGTAAAAAAGTCAGATTCTACACCTTTTGTAGGTGATTATATCCACTTTAAACAAGCTAGTTGTTTCTTGCTACTCGAGTCACTGTGGCACAGTGTGCAGCAGTGCTTAAGTAGCGAATATCTTCACTAACTTAAAACTCAGGTGTATCAAAAGTGCGTAATTAACTACTCTACGAAACACACAAAAAGCAGATGTATTGTTCCATTCAGAAATAGTTCAGGAAGAGGTATCGGGTGTCTCCAAATCCCTTTTTTTTCGTTTTCTTTCATGCGCCTTGCGCAGAGACATTCTTTCCTAAGAAAAATCCACAGAAATATCAAGTGCTTTGGTGCATTTAAGGGGTGAGTGGAGAACCTCAAAATACGGCTTTGGATGGTCACAGTCCAAGAAGAAGCGCTATTCCAGTGCTGTCCTCCCGAACCAGCATTCATTCATTCATCCATCCATTCATTCATTCATTTAAGCTCTTAAGATGTTTATTGATCAGTGTGACTTTAAGCAGACTTTATAACTTCATCAGTATCATCTCTGTCAGAACCTTCTATCTACAAAGTGGTAACTGTGTAATTTTGGACCATTTTATTTGTCTGTTCATTATAAATTGTTGACATAATTCAAACAATAATTGTAGTTATGCAAAAAGGTTAAAACAACAAAAGTGGAGATGATATACAAGGTTCATTGTTCTTGAAGTTACTCATGCTTTTGCCAGTAACAGGTGTGGTTGGTATTTCAACATATCGTAACTCATTCAACCCGCATGCTGGGACAGGGTGAAATGTTATACAGCAGTCCTTTTGGAATGCAGTGTAACTCTATTGATTCTCAAAGTTACCCAGAAGCAACTAATATTGGTGCATCAATTAACACACAACATAATTTCTGGTTAAAACCTTTAGTTAAAATAAAACTTAAAACAATTAAATTACATCTTGAGTGCCAATTTATTTTGAATACATTTATAAGTGTCATAAATATAGATCAACATTAGGCACAAAGAGAAAAATCTCATTTAACAGGCTCTTTAACAGAATAAAGAGAAATAGAGTATTTTTTTAATTTAGGCAATACTGGAAATTACATCCTTCAGTGTTGTCCGCAGTGCATTCCATACATGCACACTACAAGGAAATCATTTTCTCTTATCAGTTTTTTGAAGAGCAGGTTTGGGTGGTTGAACATATTTAAACGTGTTGCCAGGAAATCTGTTTCAGTGTGATCTTACCTGAAGAATATGGAGTATGGTCTTCTGTCTGAGGTTAGTGATCTGCAGTTTGTTTAATTGTATTATGATGATGAAAACAGCGTAGATACTGGTACTAATCTACAGTAAGATTTGTGTTATTTTCTATTGTAGATTTGAATATTTTACTTGTTATCTGAAGTATTGATGTCAGTGTGACAATGGAGGGTTCAGTTCAAATGCCTGTGCTGTCTCTGAAGATAGTGGCAATCGTATTAATGATAAGTATGTTCTATAAATGCCTTTTTCCACAATTGGCTCAGTTAACTGGAAATCTTTCTCCAATTCGCTAAATGTTTGTTTCTTTTCTCTTTAACACTTCACAGGTGGTCTGACAAAAGCACAAACAGGTAATGACACTGTTTAATTTATTCTTTTTTCATGTCACTTGGCTTTGTTCTGTCTGTCATGCTGAAGTTTTTTATTTTTTTTTTTGAAGAATGGTCTAATATCTTGCCACACACAGTTCAGAACTTGCATAACTCAATTCTAAGAACTGAAGTTGTTCACAAGGAAAAGTGTAGACCTGGACCATACAAGGCAGTTGAGTCCACAGGCTACTGAAATTGCACAGAAACTAATTTTGAAGGCAGGCGTCCCTGGGCCAGATTCATAAAACGCACTGCCAGATTTACAGTGATGTTAAGAGCAAATAGTGTGGTGGTAACACGTTTGTTCATTCACAAATGAGGATTAGCGGTGCGTTTTACCACTTGTGTCATGTGAGGCATGGTTACATTTTTACTTCATTTAAATAGGCCTGTAGTGATTTATAACACAGTGCAGAAAATAAAGAAAAAATTATCTGAATCTCTGACGGTAATTTTCCTGGTAAAAAGCCGATGTGCATTAAATGATATTTTCTACAACAGTTCCATGCGTTCGCACATTAACCAATGTTTAAAATACATGATTTGATCTGTTTGGATGGAGTAACATGACAGACTTTCTCACTGCTGTTGTCGGATGTTGTACTTTTTTAACAGCCTCTTCTTCTTGAATCAAATTCCATGTTTCGAAATCCCCTCTCTTGCATGTAAAAAATAGGTTCAGCTTAGAATCCAAATAAGTGCCAAATAATTTGATAAGTAAAATTACACGATTGAATGGATATTATTGTTTTAAGAAATTGATTTTTGCAGTTTTAATGTTTAAAATTATTTTTCTATTTACAATGGATTTTTTTTATTCAGTTTCAACATGGGAAAATTAAATGTTCACTAGATGATGTAAAATTAAAAGCATCTTATTTTATTTGCCAGCACTTCTTCCCTGAAATTTGTAGCTCTGTTTCTTAGAATTTTGCTTTTTCTTTCTTTGTTTTCATTTTTTTCATTTTGTTCATTTTGGCAGCCAACTTCAACTGGCTTCACTTGGAGGGTCTTTAATATGTATGTATGTATGTTTGATTGGCTCCTGCCTAAAACACCAGAGGAAATACTGCAGCATTAAAGGCGCTAATCACCACCACTGTCACTTTATAAATGGCTCTTATTTAGCAGCGCAGTTACTGCTGAGTTTTAAAAATGTGACCCATTGCCTTTAAACTCCCTGTGATGCAGATGCAACTTGCCTCTGGAGATTTTTCAGGGGTGTGGACAAATATAGGGTTACTCCTATACAAGACATACTTACAACAGTGGTGGGCAGCCAAGCTTTAGCTATTAGCCAGACACCATTTACATATATGGCAATTTGCAGACACTGTTATGCTTTGTTTACAACTTGCTTTAAACTAGTGCATTTTGGGCTTAAAAAGACATAATATTAGTTATATTAGTATAATTAGTATTAGTTTAAATGCTCATCACTGAGTAGGGCTGCAACAAATGACTAATTTGATAGTCAAATAATCTATCCATTGCTGAATTGAATAATCGATTGGTTAATAATGAATAATTAATATTATTCATAGTTAATAATTAATCGATTAATCAGATTATGAATCACTAAATTGCCAAATAACTCTTATGTATTTAAAAAAAAATTGCTCCACCATCCATGTTCCAAAATGTAATGCATATTCTTATTTTATTGCTTGTCTTTCGATATTCACAGCAGTTCGCAGTGCAGGACTGATATAAGCTTTTGTAAAAGGTGAAATATTAAAGCAGCAGCTTTAATGCAGAAAGTACAACGAAAATATGCTCTGGAAACGAACAGGCTCTGATGTTGAATTCTCTTGTGAATTAGCGCGGTTCAGTTGTTTGAAGCGGGCCTGAATTCTAGTAGTGTCGCATGTCAAAACCAAACTAAAAAAAGTTCAACAGTCCGCAGGTCTGCAAGCGCCTCCCAGCTGAAACAGAGTTTCTGATTGGCTCTGCCGCTCAGTTTAACTCTGTGTTTGTGCCGGTCGTGTGCATGTCCTGAACTCAGAAAATAATGGGACGTTACCACAGTACTCTGAAAAGTGATGGGTCAAATGCCCACTCGCCACCATGGTTCTGGCAGCCCTGCTATGAACAGTTACAATTCCAACAATTTTGTGTAAACATTTAATTTCAACGGGAACACTTTGTCCAGTTGCCTTATAAGTTCACATAGAACTACCTCCTGAATGCGAGTGGTTCCAAACATTAGCCGAGAACTCAAAGCAAACAGAAAACTGTTTGCAAGCATTCTACTGTTTGCTGAATTTAAATCCCTGAAGACCAGAGAAGAGTCAGCTGCAGTAGTCAAACCTATATCCCACTGATATAGAGCTTTCACCAGCCATTCTGAGCTCTGTGAGATAAGTACAAATCTTCACCCAGTCGCACACAGAGAAAAGTACCACTGTTGTCAGGCATCAGAAAGAGTCTGAAACACTGCACTATCCTGCATTTCAGCAGACAGCAGATGGTGAACACAACTCCTTTGCCCTCGTCCTGCTTGTGATGCCATCGAGTCCTGGGATTCAGCGAAATTAAGTCCATTCCTTGGCAAGTCCCAACACCTCATGGTACTTAGTCCACAGCGCCCACCTCTCTCCTACAGGCACCACAACAGCTATGCCTTTGGATTCACCAGCCATTGGTTCTCTCCTCACTGCACCTCCAGCTGCTCCCACTCATGAAGCAGCTGTCGACCAGATCTTCCAAGGACTTGTGGTCTCACCCCAAGTTCCTTCTGCTGTTGCACCTGAGACAGTTCTGGATCCTGGTTCTGTTAGTCTGTCTATTTTTCACCCTCTGCCTCCACCATACATCCTTTCTTTGTGACCTCTGATAATCTGGACAATGTATCAGTATTCTGGTACTCACAACCTGGTCACTACCCGGTCCTTATTGACGTCCTTAGGCACTGAACTGACTGTCAAAATGGCAACATTGCTGAGGCTGAAGCTTCAGGTGATTGTCCTTCAACTTGTGATTGTCATCCCTTCAGCCTTTTTGTCATCCCAGATGTCACCCCTTCAGAAGGCTTCTAAATGGCTGGGGACGGCATTTAACACGTCACACCTTTACGTCCACTACATTCTCTCCTCACCAATGCAGAACCAGCTGTTTTGGAGCCTGTAAATTGCTATGGCTATGCTGGTCCACCTTTGCCAGGGTACAACTTTAGCCACCACTCTCCCCACACTTTACACAATCTAGAAGCACACTTTCTCCACTTTAACACTTAGGTAAGGTAGTTTTAAGAATCTGGCCCAATGTCTTTAAACTCCCTGCAATGCAGATACAACCCCCTTCCAGAGGAAACCCAAGAAAGACAAATATGAATGGTTACAGGTCCACAAGCCTTACTCACAAAAGTGGTGGGCAACCAAGCTTTAGCTATTAGCCAGACACCATTTCCACATATGGCAATTTTCAGACGCTCTTATGTTTTGTTTTGTATGTGGGAAAACCTAACTTTGAACTACCGTATTTTTGGCCTTTTATTGAAAAAATAAAACTATTATTATTTTTATTAGTACGATTTGTATTAGTTCACACGCTCATCGATTTCTGCGATTAAAGACAGAAAGGGATGGTGCTGTTTGAATGACCACTTCACTCTATTTCTGAGCGCCAGTACAGGAAGCAGTGTTGATGCTTGTCTTGCACCCTGCAAGTCTTTGTGTACTGTGTACTGGAGCTTCAGTGCATAGTGATACAACTCCTAGGCTGGAATTCCTGTTTATCTCAGCCTTCAAACACCAGCAGACTGTAAAGGCTTGGTCCATGTCACTTCTTATAGCTTGGGCAAAGTAGATTTAAGGAGAGTTAGATAATGTTCTCCCTTCTGGAAGAGGCCTTCCCAGCAGTGCTGAACCACATTCATGCCTAAAACCATATGTTGAGAGTAGATACCGATCCTCTACTATCACTACACCTTTACTGGGTGTGTTTACACCCCTCACTTCAAAGTCCAGCAAAACTTAGCCCACCTTAGGAAGCGACAGTCCATTTGCAGTTTTAAGTATTTTTATTAGTACGATTTGTATTAGTTCACATGCTTATCAATTTCTGCAATTCAAGACAAGTATGACAAGGTATTCTCTCTGCCTGCTGCACCTCCTTCTCCTTTAAATACTCCTGCAAGAGACTCTGACTAAGTAAAGTAACTTGGGATAAGCTTACCTTTCACCTCCACTTCCGGACATTTATACACTGTCGCTGACCTGATGAGTGCATCGATTCCTACTGTTTCTGAGACAGCAGCAGCTGACACCACAGTGAAATCCTTGCCTGCAGCCTCACACTTAGGGCAGTTCCATTACATATAATCTGCTTCTACGCATTGCAAACAGAATTCAGAATTCCCTATTCATCCCAGTGTGGTATCTGTTCCGTCTTTCTTTCTTCTTGAGGTCTTTAAAGGTGGACTTTATAAAACAAGCAGAAAATCAAATAGAATTGACTCCAGGGCTGAATTGAAAGTAGTTTGAGATGTAAGCATGTAATTCTCACCGGTGTTCAACACTCACTGAAATTACCGCAGAACCCACTTTAACCCTAGAAAGCATAATCCAAAAAAACCTGCACAAATGCATAAAGGGGGTCAAATTGACCCATATCCGAATCAGTGATTTTGTTTAAAGGAAAATAATTCTGTTTTTATCTTAATATTCTGCTGAAGAATTTCATGATTCATACATGTTTTGGTGTTTGTTGATTTGATCACTTTGCATGTACATATACAATAAAGACAGATGAAATTCAATACTGTTTACATGCATTAGAACTTTTCTTCCACTGACTCAGCAAAGAGGCATTAGTATAAATGAAATTTGATCATAAAGTAATGAATTATTAATTGTGTCAGTCCATAAATAATTCTCAGTACGTTTTAACAGTATGACATTAAAAGCAGCCCTCAAAATGTGCTAGCTAGCTTCCTAATGTTCCTAACTAACTCACTAAAATTTGCTAGCTAATTAAACATGAGTTCTAGGAGTTTGCTAGCTAACTGATTTAGAATATATGAATATCTATATTTTTTAAATTCTATCATTTGTTTATTTCTATCTGATTTATTTATATCTTATAATTGTCAGGAGTTCAAAAATACAGTATTTGTAAACAATTTACATTACAATATCACATGAATAAGAAGTCAGTGGCTCACAAGCAAGCCTGTATTTTTGTGGAATACATGGACTGTCAAGGAACTAAATATTTTTACACAAAAATATATATATAAAGATCTGGCGATCCAAGGTTAATATGCCTTTTCCTCAGTAAAGCATTTAAAGTCATGCATTTCTTTTGTGATTTTGTCTTTTAACAGCTGCACTTACTACTACTGCAAACCCTGGTTATGACCCGTGCAGTAACTATACAGTCCTCAACCAGCCCTGGAGAGCTACTAATGCATCATGGTATTATGTCTGTGATCAAGACTTTGAGTGGAACGGCTGGTATCGTCTTCTCTATTATGGGATGAACATACGCATGCCAGAGCGCTGTAGTAGTGGATGTTCCACTAATATTGCTCTATGGATAAACGGCTCACATCCCCAGATACAGGATGGAATAGTCACCCGTCAGATCTGTGGTAATTTTGGAGGAATTTGCTGCTATAGTTACTACAATACCTTCATTCGAGTCAAAGCGTGCCCAGGGAACTTTTATGTCTATGAATTCATCAAGACTGGGTATTGTTATTCAGCCTACTGTGCAGGTATCATTTCAGACATTTCTCTTTGAATTTTGGCCATTTTAGCATAATTCTTGAAATTATTGTAATGGAAAAAAATACTTTTTGCAGATATCTCCACACTAACTCCAGCCAACTTCTCAACAACCGGAGTCATCCCCACAGAAACCAATATAAGTATGTAGTTGTGATGATTTTTTTTTTGTTTAAATAAATAAAACCATTAAACTTTATGAGCAAAAAATACAAAAAATGTAGCTCTTAAAATTAATGCCTCTAATTTCTGTGAACAGTATCATTATTATTAAAATTTCTTAATCATGGTATACCTGTTTTAAAACATTGCATATGTGTGCATAGTTGTTATGTGATCAGTTGTAAGTTATATACAATAAAAGGGAGATATCAAGGTAATCCACCAAATATAAATTGGTTAATGGTTTATGCTGCCTTTAAGGTGAAAAGATTGTGACAACATCTTATGAATTATGGCCCAAATCTCTCACTCTCACTGTTTGTAGCAGATTATATTAACAACAGTTATTGTTAAGGTTGCCACAATATCTATCTTGTGTTCTAATTCACAGCAACAGACTCCAGCTTTGACCCATGCTATAACTATACTGCCCTGGACAACTACTGGAGAAATACACATATAAACTACAGAGGACATGATGACACCCTTGTAGAATGGAAGGGCTGGTATCGACTGTATCTTCAAGGACAAAGTGCTCAAATGTCTGAGTGGTGTGTGACTTATACAACATGTGGTGGTTTTACTCCACTGCTGCTCGGAGGTTCACATCCACAGATTGGTGATGGAATTGTCACTCGTGATGTAATTGGATCTCGCTGGTACTCCACAGGCAATTACTACACGTCCAACCCCATTCAAGTCAAGGCTTGCCCAGGAAATTATTACGTCTATAAACTTGTTAAACCAGATATATTAATCCCTTTTCCTTCATACTGTGCAGGTACAGCAGAACTCCTCTTCACTACCTTAACTGTATCATTTGTTCATTCTAAGATAATCAAATTATTCTCCTAGACTAAATAGTGCAGTTTGGATTAAAGCCCTTTAATATAGTATTTTTGGTTTGTATGACGTCGTTTATTTCTTTACTAATAGGTGAGATAGATAAATCCTTAAAACAAAATTGTTTTCATTGCGTAAAGTCTATCATTGACAACTGAAAAAGTCTAATAATTTATGTTTCAATTACAGTTTCTTTTAGTAACTCCAGTGTAGACCCCTGCTACAGCTATACTGCCCTGAATGACACTTGGAGAAGCAGCACTGACTCCACCACAACTTCACAATGTGATGCAAATGTGAACTGGGTGGGCTGGTATCGGCTTTTCTATCAGGGACAAAGTGCCAAGATGCCAGAATCATGTGTCAGTCCAAACATGTGTGGCACTTACAGCCCTCTTTGGCTCAATGGCTCTCACCCACATGTAGAAGACGGAGTGGTGGTTCGGCAAATCTGTGGAAGCAGTGGCAATGATTGCTGCTTTTATAAATCCTTACCGATTCAAGTGAAAGCTTGCCCAGGAAATTACTATGTGTACGAGTTTGTCAAACCAAATTTCTGCAATGCAGCCTATTGCACAGGTAATGTACTGATATACTTACTTGAAAATAAATGATTTTGTGCATAAGATAAATACTTGATCTGTAAATACGAATGGGATACTGTGCTTTAGCTAGTTTATGTAAATTATCTGTTTTGTATTTTGTGCAGCCAGATTGAATGTGCAATCACCCAATTACCTGCATACTTTAAAACAAATATCATGAGTGAACTTTCCCAATTCTTTCACATAGTTTACAATAAAATAATTATTTAGTTATTAGTTCTTTTGCCATACAAAGTAACCTTTGGCCACACCTGTAAGAAGATTATTTATTTAAATAACTACTCTATTATCTTCTTTAAACATATATTCTTTTCATTTCAGATACTAGCAACATAACTGTCACCAGCGTACCTACAACTACCCCACAGAGTAAGAACTACTTTTTGTCTTTGTTCACTAAAAATGCAAAATGTAGTTAAAACACTTCAAAGCAAATCCTTTGATTCTATTTTTGTGCAGTATAATAAAGCACAGTGCAGTGTAGCAAAGACCAGCTTAGTGGTATTATGCAGATATATTGATTTGTTTGGACTTTTTTTTTTTTTACTTCATTTTTGTTTGGTTGCTTTTATAAGTCAGTGGAGTGTCACATCAAGGGGTGTAGTGTTTAAAATTGGATTCTCCCTTTTAGCTTTGTCCCTCTACAACTCCAGCTCCACTGTGGAACCTAGCAGTCATTGAGGCTAGTTTAACTCATACATTCACTTACTGACCACTTTATTAGGAGAAAAAGTTTCACCTAGGTAGAACCCCTTCTTGGTGGTATGCATTCTGATGACTGTTGTGTGACTTATATTTGTATCCATGTTCAACTGATGCTATTAACAACGAAGAGCAAATTAAATAGTAGAAATAGACACATCAGATGCAGGCATGAAAAGCTTTGGTCATGGACCATCAGGACCTATTTCAACTATTTTAATGTCACAAACTACAACAACAGGATAGCATAAACCAAATTTCCAATTAAAGAAATGTAAATAAGTGTTACATAAATGACAAACCAAAGTAGTGTAACATTTTACAGTGTAAACATTTTGAAAAAAAAATGGCTGTCAAAATCGAAATAGCAGAGACTAAATAATATCAAATAAGTACCAATTACAGGTATCCGTCTCAGCTTTCTGGTTCATGGGCTGTCTGATTTACAGGCCACAGCTAGCGAGGCTCCAGCACTGTGCTTATAGTGGAAAGTAGTACTGGGTCACAAGTGCTGCCTTCTTTCCTCTTCACTCTCCCTACTTCAATGGCAAATGGCATTCTTTTCAATGCTTTTGTTTGCTTGAAGAGCAGCACCTCTGCGTCAGGCAGCAAACACTTCAGCAGTTTCAAGTCAATGCCAAGAAAGAATTTGGCCCACAGCACTGGCCCTTTGAAACAGCAGGAGGGAATGAAAACGTACTGAAACTTAGAGGAAAAAGTTGCTTTACCAAAAAAATGAGTAATCCTGAAAAGTTAGAAGGGGAGGGCATGGTGGTGGGAGAGTAGCTATTTAACATTAGGAGGAGGAGTGGATAAGTTTGTAGGTGTGGAAGAAAGGGAAGAAATGGATGGGAGTATAACTGTGAAATTAGTAAAGAAAGGATAGATCTGGGCGTAGCTGTACAGAGGTGGTCTGTCAGCGTTGTTTATCACAATGACTCATCACAAATTTTGTATATTTCACCAAAAATGCATGCAAAAAAAAATAATAATAATGTATATATTGTATTGGACATTGTTGACATTTCTATGAAATTGCACTTGTGGTCCAGTTTAACCCCTACTTAGCGGTTCAGGGACAAAACAGGGATAAGACCAATTGGAATTGACTCAAAGACTTGACCGAAAATAGTAGTAAAGTTGAAATAGTTTAACTTAATGAAAGAAATTAAAAATCTGATTATGCATAAATGTTTTAATATATCAGTCATGTTTATCTGACCACTTGTCATGTGTGGTAAATACCGGTTAAAAATCAATACTATTTAAATGCGTTAGAACTTTTCCTCAACTGAATCAGCTATGAAGCACCAGAATAAATGACCTATTTATTTATTTATTATTCATTCATTCATTCATTCAGTCATTTATTGTCTATGTCTATTAATCAATTTCTCAATAAAATTCCTAACAGTAATATGGTAGAGGCAACACTCAGAGTTTGCTAACTAGTTGAGTATTAGCTCTAGTAGTTTACTAGCTAGCTGGTTTAGAATATCTAAATATCTGTATGGTTTCAAAATCTCTCATTTATTAGGTTAAAAAAACAGCTACAGCAAGTTGGTAGTTGAGTGGCTATGACAAATGATGATAAATATTAGAAGAACATATTGTAATAAATATTTTGGCCTCTGTTACAAAGTCTAGTAGTCATATAAAAATATGAATAAGAATAAATATGAATAAGAACAATAAGAATGTTCTGGTAGCCCTTTACAGATCAGTAATTAGTGAGCAATAACATGGTAATATTTTGGTTAGAAGTTGTACTTACCAAAGATGTGCACAGTAAATTGAGTTGTTACAAATCAACAAGTTTGTAATTTAATGGGGATTTGTTTATAAAATGATAAAATAATGGAAACAAGTTGAAATAACCTAAAACTTACATATTGTTTTTCAGTTATTAATAAATAATAAATTAAGATAGGTGATGATGAACACTGGTAACACTTTCCTTTACAGATCAGTAATATGGTGATATTACTTACCTAAAATAACATTATAATTTTCTAGTTGTTACAAAATAATACGTTAGTAATTATAGTAGCAACAAGTTGGTAATAAAATGGTAAAGTAATAGTAACAAGTTTTACAAACTTAAAAGTTGCATGCTAATTGTCTAGTTGATAATAAAAAGCAATTGTAACAGTTACACATTGGTAATCAAATTGTACAATAATGGTAAGAAGTTGCACTAACCTAAAAATCACATGCCAATGATACAGTTTTTAAAAAATAATAAGTTAGTAATTGTGTGTGGTGATAACTAGTTGTTAGTAAAATTGAAAAACAATGGTAACAAACTCTATACAGGAATAAAATGTAAATTTTCCATTTGACACAAAATAGTTTAATTAGTAAGTGAGTAATACTAAACATGTAATGAGGTGGCTTGCCAGAGGTGGGATTTGGACCGAGGCCGTCTGGGTGGTGTTTCAGAGGCCAACAAGGTGAGCCACCGTAGGGCTACCACTGCACTATAGAGGCCGCATCATGTGGTGCGGGAAGGGTTCGCCTTAAAAGGGAACGCCCGAAAATGGGTGGAAAACAAAAGGCATTACCCACCTACTAAGGCTTAGACGGGAACAGAACAAAGGACACCAGGGGAAAGACTGGCTGTCTCAAACACTGAGGAAATGATAACTGAAAAACCACTTTCCCAACAGAAGAGAATGCCCGAAGGAGAACGAAAAGGAGAAAGGGACAAACTTGTCCCTTCTCTAGTTTTTTTCTTTTTTTTAAAGGAAGAAAGACACAACTCGAGAAAGGGGATAGGCTCAAGAAGTGACAGAGAGAAAGAAGCTCGAGAGAAACACTCCAGAGCTTCTACTCGAGATTACCGGCCGGTCTGTTTGCCAGAACTCTGAAACAAAGACTCAGCAAAGTGTGTCTTCTTCCCAGCCCTTGTAAAGCCCCCTGAGCAGGTGTGGCTCGTTTGGCTGGATTGGGTCATTGACCCCCATTTTTAAAGGGATGAGGTGTCTTTCAGCACAATGAAAAAACAGTCCTTGGTTTCACTGGAAAATCATACATCAAAAAAAAAATTCTGGAGTCCCATGAGGTTCAGTTTTAGGGTCTTTGCTTTTCTCTGTGTACATGTTTCCTGTAGGTGGTGTCATTACAAAACATGATGTAAATTTTCATAGCTATGCTGATGACATGCAGTTACACATTTCCATTCTTTCTGAAAGTCAAGCCACTGTTGACAGGCTGACAACGTGGGTGATATGTTGATGAAGCAGATATTATGCTGTTAGAGCCAGACATCTCATCCCTTTACATCTTAAAAAAAGACACAAAGCTACCACAACTGACTAATTGTTTAATGTCACTCATGTTTACTGTTATGTACAACAGTACATAATGAAACCATTTTGTATCAACTGGAAAATTTTATTACCAACTGTTTTTTTCTGCAATTATTAATTCATTGTTTATAAACAACTAATGAGCATGTGATGTTTAGGTACAACTTTATTGTTTGTTATTTTAATCATTATTAATTATCTTACCATTTAATTACCAAGTTGTCCCTGCTGCAATTTCTAACAAACTTATTATTCAGTGACAGCTAGATAAATAGCATGTCATTTTTAGATTAGAAAAACCTGTTACCATAATATTACCATATCATTACCCTTTATTACCATCTGTAAAGCAAAGTGCTACCAATATCACTCACTGACAAAATGAATCAAAAAATTCCATGATGAGTCAAAATTCCATAGGAAATTTAAAGGGGTCATTTTTCACTCCTTTTACAAAGACTGTGATGGTGATACAAAAACAGTATTTTTCCAGAACATTTGCTATAAAAAGAAACGTGGAAATGGAATTCATGACGCTCTCAAACAAGACTTAGGAATGCATGGATGATGAAGAAAGTTAAATGTTTTACTGATAAAATTTTAAAAAACATCACACTCTATATTATACCCTTTATGCATTTGAGGGGTAATTTTTTTCTACTAAACAATTTAATCCTGTTTTTTTGTCTGTGTGTGTTTGTGTGTCTTTAACAGCTGCACTCACTCACTATTATGACCCGTGCAATACCTATACAGTCCTGGATCAGCCCTGGAGAGCTACAAATGAATCAGCAGATAATGTCTGTGATCAAGACTTTGAGTGGAACAGCTGGTATCGTCTTCTCTATCATGGGATGAACATTCGCATGCCAGAGCGCTGTAGTTGGGGGTGTACCACCGCTGCTGCTCTGTGGCTAAATGGCTCTCATCCCCAGATACAGGATGGAATAGTCACCCGTCAGATCTGTGGTAATGCTGGAGGAAGCTGCTGCTATAGTTACTACAGTACAACCTCCATTCGAGTCAAAGCGTGCCCAGGAAACTTTTATGTCTATGAATTCATCAAGCCTGTCTCATGTAATTTGGCTTACTGTGCAGGTATGATTTAAGACATTTTGTGTTTAAAACAATGACATTATAGCATAATGCTTGAAATTCTTGTAATATTAAAAAAATGTTCTTGCAGATATCACCACATTAACTTCAGCCAACTTCTCAACAAGTGGAGTCATCCAAGAAACCAATATAAGTATGTAGCCATGATGATCTTTTTCTAAAGCTTCTATATATATATATATATATATATATATATATATATATATAATTCTTCAAAAGAAAGCTCCATTTTCTATGGCAATATCAATTGTTTATTTTAAACATTACATAACTGCACCTACTTGCGACACACTTGCAATTGTCCACATACTCACCCACATACCTTTTGTCCCTCTATAGCAGGGGTCTTTAATTTAAATTCAGTAAGGTCCAGTTTCCTCAAGCAAAGGTCCGAAACATCATAATGTCTAACTTGCTTCAGTGCCATGATTCAGTGCCATATACTGTTTACTGAAGTAGCCTAGTAGTTATATCAAGATCTTATGCAGTCAACAACTGAATGTCAAATCAAATAAAGCACAATTCAGTAATATTTGAACAACATTTATCGTCAGTTTTCTGTTTTTAGATCACGCCATGTAAAATAACTTTCCTCTGACTCACTTTCTCCTCCGACTGCTGTTTCTCACCTCGTCCCTCCCCTGTGTGTGCGTCACTCATTCGAATCGCAGTGCTCATTGTAATGCACAGATCTGATTGGCTGAGTAACGTCTCTTGTGATGTTTACAACGCATGCGATTGGTCTGTGAGTTTCCCAGGCCACTAAACGGGTACCGTACTGACTAGAAATTTTACGACAATTAAAATAGGACCACCCTGTTGAAATGAAAGAATTATCCGTTGTTTATCGGTTATAGGTCCAGGTCCGCATAGGACAGTGTCTGGGTCCGGACTCGGACCGCGGTAAGCCTATTAGTGACCTCTGCTCTAGAGAACTTAAAGTTATTTCCACTTGGGAGCAGACAAAGAGTGTGGAAATCATTTTAGGAATTATGGCCTAAATTTACAACAAAAACACTTTTTTAGCCCCTGTTGCTACAAATTATATTTACAGCAGTTCCGGTTCTTTACAAGACTCTTTACAACTTTCTTTGGTTCTGTTTTACAGCAACAGACTCCAGCTTTGACCCATGCTATAACTATACTGCTTTGGACAACTACTGGAGAAATACACGTATCAACTACAGAGGACACGATGACACCATTGTAGAATGGAAGGGCTGGTATCGACTGTATCTTCAAGGACAAAGTGCTCAAATGCCTGAGTGGTGTGGGTATTACACTACATGTGGTGGTTTTACTCCGCTGGTGCTCAGAGGTTCACATCCTCAGGTTGGTGATGGAATTGTCACTCGTGAAGTAACTGGATCTCGCTGGCTCATCATATGCAATTACCACAAATCCAACTCTATTCAAGTCAAGGCTTGCCCAGGAAATTATTATGTCTATAAACTTGTTAAACCAGATGTATCAATCCCTGTTCCTTCGTACTGTGCAGGTACAGTAAGAGTCTTTAATACCTTATTCTGTATATAAACTAAATAACACTGTTTGAAGTAAATCTTTCTATTATGAAACACTTTGGGTTTTGATGTGTATATAACATGATCTGTTTCTTTCAAAAAGAAAGGGCTAACCAGATATCAATACATGTTCAATACTAAATTCAGTTTTAATTATGCTGGTAAATAATGTCACTGAAAATTTAATAAAAACCTTATTTAAATTACAGTTTCTTTCAGCAACTCCAGTGTAGACCCCTGCTACAGCTATACTGCCCTGAATGATACATGGAGAAGCAGCACTGGCTCAACCACAACCTCACAATGTGATGCAAATGTGAACTGGGTGGGCTGGTATCGGCTTTTCTATCAGGGACAAAGTGCCAAGATGCCAGAATCATGTGTCAGTCCAAACAGCTGTGGCACCAACACCCCACTGTGGCTCAATGGCTCTCATCCACGCCTAGAAGATGGAGTGGTAGTCCGGCAAATCTGCGGAAGCAATTTCGGAGACTGCTGCTATTTCAAGTCTTTTCCAATTCAAGTGAAAGCTTGCCCAGGAAATTACTATGTGTACGAGTTTGTCAAACCAAACTTCTGCTCTGCAGCGTATTGCACAGGTAATGTACTGATACAAATGCTTGAAAATCTTATCGTACATATAATCAGATCTTGGTTTGCAAATATTAATGGGATACTCTGGCTGTTTCTCGCAAAATGTCTGTTTTCTTATTTGTGCACACAGACTGAGTGCCATGTGTAAACATCAAATGATTTGCATGCTTTGAATATATCATGAGTACACCCTTCCCAGCTTTTTCACAGTTTAATATAAAATATTTATTTAGCTATCAGTTCTCCTACACTGCAAAGTAGTCCTGCACTACACTTGTGAGAAGTTCAATCATAAAACAGATTCCTCCATGACTTTCTTCTAACTTTTTAATTTTTCAATTTCAGATACTAGGAGCATAACTGTTACCAGCACACCAACAACTACTCCACAGAGTAAGACCTACTTTTTGTATTTGTCGAACTTTTGTTTAAAGTGTCTGCTGGATGTAGCCATTAGAAGATTCATAAATTGTGGCCATAAAGAGATGCATATGTTCAGAGAGCTGTGGCATTGGTATTAGGGGACCAATGTGAATCAAGAAAACATTCCCCCACACCATTACACCACCACCATTAGCTTTAACTATTTTTTTTATGGGGTGATGCTGTTTATGCCAAATTCCAACCCTACCATCTGCATATCTCAGCATTAATCAAGATTCATCAGACCATGTGAAGTTTTTCAGTCCTTAACTGTCCAGTTTGGGTGAGCCTGTGCCCAGTGGGCCTCAGACCACTGTCACCAATAAGGTGAAGATCTCAAGGGATCAGCAGTTTCTGAAAAAGCACCATGTCTTGCACCATGCGTTATTTAAAGTCACATAGCCTTTGTTCACACTACAAGGCAAGTCAGATTTATTTCTAATATCTGACCTCTCAAACTGACTGTTCAGGTTATAATGACAGTCGATTAGTATCATCACACTGTAGTTACATTTACTCGCATTGCCAGAGTAACTACTATTAACGTCAAGAACTACTAGTTATTTACTAAGTAGGTAATAGTGAACTATTGATTATGGTTGTTAACTATTAACTAAATAGTTCATACTAATACTAATCTATTATTATTTACACAGTTATCCTCAGAGAAAGCAGGAGGCACCACCCCACATGGTACTGCCTGGTGTCCTTCATGTGTTTGTTTTGATCAGAAACCTTAAAAGGCTAATGCACATCTTCATATAGGGCAGTATGAACCAATTTGCACATCAGCCTACAAATGGGAGCACTGCTAAAACTCTACAGTATTCGGTAGACCGGTCTGCTTATCTCTCATCTTTAGACTAGAAAACACCAGTTTTATCTGCAGGAGCATGTGTGGCATTGTTGTTTCTTCTGAATAGTTAACTTTTAAAGTCCTCTTGAGGGCAAGGTGAGTTCTCACAGATATATATGGCTGTGTATGTGTCCTGCCTACAAATTCATTTGGATTTAAATGTTACCAAGAGATTATGTAATTACTATCTGTTAGATAATGAGTAAGGTGTTGCTGTCCTTCATTATGAGTTATAGATCTTCAGGAACAACAGTATAAAGTGAAACACATGGTAACTCATTACTAATGAACATGGCAATACTGTGTTCTTTATTAGGGGTTAATGATGATCATGGACATTATTATAAAGTGAAACACATGGTAACTTATTATTAATGAACTAGGAGTTAATGATGATCAGGAACAGTATTATAAAGTTAAACACATGACAACTCATTACTAATAAACTAGGAGTTAATGATGATCAGGAACAGTATAAAGTGAAATGGAGCGCAAACTGTTAAGTGCGAGTTAGCACAACAGGTACGATGTTCTTCTACGATGTTCATTTTACCATGTTTTTTTTAGAATAATAAGCATGTTAGTGCTTTATTAGACCTAAAGCTGCTGCTTAGGTTAATTTAGGTAATGTGAGCTAAGCTAATGGGCAGCAAAACTTTGTGCCTCAGATATGAAACAGAACGATGTGACTGTTCACAAATAAAATGACTCAATAAACAACTTATTTACTCTTACTTTTTTCAAAATGTCTTTTAATATTTTTGTACTACTGTAAGTCATTTCTTTAGGGATTTTTATTTCAATGTGTTTCACTTTATAATACTGTTCCTGATCATCATTAACTCATAATGAAGAACATAGCAACACTTTGTTCATTAGTAATGAGTTTCACATTGTTTACCTGGTCAACCTTTTTTGCTAACAGATTGCTAACAAGGTATAGGCTGCAATATTTAGAGATTGGCTTCAACTTAAAAACTTTGAAAGGAGCAGTCACAAAAACTACAACATACGATTTGTTTACATTTTGGTACTGATGCGCCTCCCTGGTTTCAGCTGCAGAAAAAAACATACTTGTATTCTGTATTCCTGTATCCCAAGTAATATTTCAACACTGAAATATTCAGATGACATAGCAAAACAGATTTTCACATATTTTCACTCCAGAGGACTATGAGTGTGTCCTGCAGGCAGAGTTAAACTTGTCGTCCACCAATTTTTTAATTTTTTTTTTTTGGAACACAAAAGATTCACCCACCAGCATCTCAAACACTGCCTGAAAAATAAAATGCTAAGGTTTGAGGTGTGCAAATTAGTCTTCTTTTGTTCTAACTTTTCCAAATTAGTTAGCTAATTTCTTCAGCAGAAGAGTTTTATTCTAAGTTAACTCATTGCAGAAAGTGGATTTCATTGTTTAACAACCAAAAATAGTCAGTGGCAGCCCGATCCTCTCCCTCAGCTGGCGGCTGCTACTGTCTTTGCTCTTCTGTGTCAGTTGAAGTTTTGTCAGTCGAACACTTTTATCATCCAGATAATGTTATTCTGGAATCCTGTCTGGAGTAGTAGTAACTATGGTAGCTAGTTTGTTTGTTACTTGTGTGTTTGTCTCTCTTTGACAGTTGATTATGTCACCAAGGGTCAAAGTTTGTCCCAAGAAGAGACTGTTTCCAAATTCATGGAGTGTAGTGATTCTCTTTGTCACATGTATTCTCATGGTGATAAGGACAGATCTCCAGCTCAGCTTGGAGGCTAAGGCTAAGCTAAGGCTAAACAAGCTGCTGATCGTTGTCCTGTGGAGAGTGACCAAAATGTCACTGCTGCCCTGCTTGCAGCCGCTTCTGAGGTTTCTGATGAGCTCCCAGTAACACCCTTTCCCTTACCCTTTCCGAGACATGAGTGTCTACATTTTAATCACTAAAAATTTGTATCAAGAGAACAGCCAAAAAAAACATGACATGTCTCAGGAATTTTTCACAATGCTTTCCGGTGACTATTTCATGTTTCACAAACATTTTCAGGCAGAATTTTGTCGGGTTGCAGTCATGTTCAGGCAGAATTTTGTCGGGTTGGGGTCAGTTTCAGGCAGAATTTTGTCGGGTTGCAGTCAGTTTCAGGCAGAATTTTGTCCAGTTGCAGTCTTGTTCAGGCAGAATTTTGTCAGGTTGCAGTCAGTTTCAGGCAGAATTTTGTCAAACTACCAGGTTCAGATTCAAAAAGTGTTCTCAAACTATATTTAGGTTAGAATCAATTTTCAAATCTGATTATAGCTATCATGTCCGTACCATTAGAAATAAATCTCTATCAATCCATTTTAGGACTTTTTACCACCCCCCTCATTATTTCTGCTGCAGTATTTATGCTTAATTTTTGTAGTTCAAAGCACTGACATTTAAATAAAATGTAACAGTAGTTGTTCATTATAAATCCAAAAAATCTGAGTAATTTGAGTGAATTACTGAATGAATTGAATTTCTTTCTAGATCCTTCTAGGATATTCTTTCCTGTTCTACCTGGTGCTACTCAACATTCTGTTACTATTGATGGAAGTTTTACACTGATCCAGCTTGACCATCCGTTCTTCTACTTTGGAAAACCACATTCACAATTATATGTAAGTAGAAAAACAGCACACAGTGCTTTAAAACATGTTCCATAATGCCTTTCAGGATTATTTGCATCATAAATTATTATAAGCAATACAAACTGAGAGAGAAGGGCAGGGTAGGACCCAAGTTAGATTTTGGCATTTCATATCCACAGCATAACTTGTTAAGTCTAAGGGCTGTCTAAGGAGTAGGGGGTATACTAAGCAGAGAAACATTTTTGAGTCTTACAGAATACCGTAGCTTTGCAGCCTTAGGTCTATTTTTCTAGTCTGTACTTGGATGCATTGAAAGAGATTTTTCTCCCAATCCCTCTAGGCTGCATTTTGGGCTTGACACCAGAGGGCTGATTGAACCAACAGGGCATATGCCTTGGTTGTTGGTTGTAACTTTATGGGTTTAACTTTGAAACCGTTGCACCAACTGCTTGTATCAGATTTAAATTTTATCTGTTCACACAGTAGATCTTTTCTGAGTTTATCTATTCTTCCTTGCTGTTACATATTTGTTTTTTGAAGCCATGACCACACCAAGCTGCCTGAGCTCATTTTGTACAGACAAGTCAGAAACACTACGAAACCAATAGCAGATTTTTTACAGTAGTGCTACAGATACAGAAATTAGAAAAGTTCCTGTTGACCACCAAAGACCACTTTAGGTTTCAAAACACGTGCTGTCAGTATTGTTACAGTTTTCTACAAAAAAAGTTTTGTAAAATAGTTTTCAGAGCTTGTTGCCAGGGTTTGAAAACTGGAATTCCTGCACTGCACAAGGAGTATCAGAGTGTGGGAGTGTTTGCAGTAGACAGTGGGCAGATGGCTTAACACAGCAGTTGAGACACACAGAGCTGGGCCAATGGAACAAGTGGATGGAGCTGATAATGCAAATACAGCTGGTAGAAACTAATGCTAATGCTAAAGCTGCTGCTCAGAGGCCACAGCACAAAGCCAGTGCAGAATATCAGTCCCAGTTATTTCATTTGCAAAACAAAGTTGGCCTCAGTGGGTTTCCTAAAGACTGTGATCATAAGGCAGGATGAACCAGAAATCTCCGCTGGCCAGATTGCCCCAGCAGAGCCACAAAGCCCCAGTCACTGGCAACAGTAGAGACCCTTGTTTCTGGGGATGATTCTGTTAGGGGTGTGAAAAAACTAAAAACTCATAGTGCAATGTGAGCTGAGCATCAAAGTCTTCGAACCGAATAAAAATCTTCATACATGACTGGTTGAATACCCAATAGTCAAGCCGATCATCGTTCATGTTGGTGAGAATGACACAAGGAAGCAGGAGTCTGAAGTACTGAAAAGGGGCTTTAATGACTTCTTCTTCAGCAAGCTCAATGTCTAGTCATTTTTCAGTGGTCCTTTGTGTGCATGGAGAAGCAACGTGTTTTAAAGGCTACTTGGATTAAACACATGGCAACATAACAACTACAGGCCAAATGCTGTTAAGCTGTTGTTAAAGTTGAAAATATAAGTGAAACTGCATACCAACAAGAAGGGTGTCAGATCTGACAGAGAACCATTGTCCAGTGCAACTTACCTGTCCCTGTTGGTGGAGACACATCTGCACTAACAGCCAAGGAGTCTCATCACACCAGAGCCATAGGATTCTTCCTCCACTGACAACGTCCTGACAGACCTGCATTTATTGGAAGACAGCCATGATGATGTTCAACTGTATTTGCTGCTGGAGAATCAAAACCACATTATCCTCCATCTCCACCTCCCTCTGTTACCCTATCTGAACCTCCCACCAATCATGGAGAAGCTGGTTTCAGCTGTGATGAGGCTTTCACTTTCCCTGTCATCCAGCCCTCAGATTCAGCAAAAAAACAGCCCAGCTTCTCCTCCACCCTCCTCTACCCACAGGCTGTCAGGCTTCTGAACAAGCTGTGAAGCTGTGGGTCCTTCCCCAACTACCACTTCACTCAGTCACTTTGTCAGCATTATTACTATATCATATCACTGCTATGGACAATAACACTTTAACACCAAGTCACTTTAAATAACAATAACACTGAGTCACTTAGTCACTTTAATATGTATATTGTCTCTATATTTTATGTAGATTTTGTGTAGATTTAATATATTTCAGTTGGTTTTTCTTGTATTTTTATTTTTACTTATTTATTTTCTGTAGAGTGATTAGCTGAGCCTCACCACAAGCATTTCAATGCACAAATGTTCTGACATGTTGTGCAAATGACAAATAAACTTGAAACTGAAACTGAACTAATTTATGATTTGATCACAGTCCATGGGCTTGATTTTATGCTTTTAACAGAAACTTATTTAAATGAATGTAGTGCTGAATTCGATTTAATCGAATTGGCTCCACCAAACTTTAAAGTTATAGATGTCTCATGTGCCAGCAAGAAAGGTGGAGGTATAGCTGTTCTGATTGATGATTGTTTCCCATGCAAGCAGTTGTCATTTGGTGACTTAACATCTTTTGAGCATCTCTGTGTAAATCTGAGAGGGGCACCAAAATATTACTAGTAATTGTCTACAGGCCTCCAATGTGCAATGCTAATTTCATTGACGAATTTACAGATGTTACCGTTTTTTCCACTGATTTTGCTCAGTTTGTTATTGCTGATTGATTGCGGATTGACATACATACTAACAATCCCAAGGACAATAATGCCAAGGAACTCTGTGCCATATTGGACTCGTTTGCACTCTCTCAGCATGTGACCAGGAGCACACACTGTCATGGCCACACTCTGGATGTGGTTATCTCAAAGGGTCTCAACATTTCAGCCACTCTTAGAGGTGATGCTTTGTCAGATCATTACTGTGTTGTCTTTGAAATGTGGGCCTCACTAGACATAAAGACCAGACATGTTTGAATTATGAAAAGGTTTATAAATGACAGCACAGCTACTCTTTTCAGAAGCAGCATGCTCTGCACCATTCAAACTATCTGATTCTGTTAATGCTTTGCTGGATAGCTTCAACTCAAAAATTGTTAGTGTTACGGGTGAGATTGCCCTGCTTAAAGTTAAAACCATGTCATGCCAACAGAAAGCACCATGGAGGGATGCCACTGAAGTTCAAATCCAAAAGAGAGAATGTAGGAAGGCAAAGCTAGACAATAATATTAACAATAGCAAAATACTTTCATCTGATGGTAGTCTTGACACATTACCAACCAACGTTTTGAAGAATGCTTTTTCACTCGCTATCAGATAGTCAACACCTCATTAATGTTGGGCATTTTGCCTAACTTGTTCAAAACTTTAGTTGTGAAGCCTATATTAAAAAGGAAAATCTAGAAGCAATTAGGTAATTACAGACCTTTTTCAAATCTACCTTTCACTGGAAAATTCTTGAATAGCTGTCTAGAAAAAAATGAGCCAGCCTGTTATTAAGGTTATTAATGTCATTTGTGTAAATACAGACTCTGGAAAAATATCTGCTCTACTACTGGGACGATCTCAGTGCTGCCATTGATACCACTGACCGAAAATTCTTGTACACTTGGTTGGACTCTTAGGAACGGTCCTAAAATGGTTCCGATCATAGCTGTAAGGAAGAAACTACTTTGGTGAAATAGAAACGCTTCTCAGTGAGTGTCAATAACCTGTGGTGTGCCTCAGGGCTCGATTCTTGGGTCACTCTTATTTAAGTCGTGCATGCTTCTTCTTGGCCAAATCCAACAAGACTATAGGATTTCCTACTACAGCTATGCAGATGATACTTGGCGCTTTCAACAAACAACTGTAGTTCCCTTGACTCACTTTTTAAGTTCCTAATTGAGCACCTTTCACCTCAGTTTAAAACACTGTTAGCTCTACTGCACTTCTATCCTGTAATGGCACCGTATTATCCTAATTAAATTTTTTTTCAATTTCAATTTTAATTTAATGTTTAATTTCTTTTTTTATCTTTTATCTGTTGTTTTAATCATATTTTTCTAATCTGCTACATCTTTTCTAATTTGAATTTGAATTATCTCTGTATTTTCTCTTTTGTAAAGCACTTTAAATGACCGCAGTAAAATGTGCTATAAAAAAACTTGCCTTGCCTTGCCTTTCTAAAAGACGGCCTTAAAAAGGTCTTAGCTCTGACCAATAGCATATAAGATCATCTTAGTTAAGACTTGCTGGTGAAACAGCCCCAGAATGGTAGGTTTGTGTATATTTGCTCCATAATGATCAATTGTTTTACTAGCTTGTTCGGCATCATGTCAGCCTTCTTGAAGAGGAACGTAAACCAGATTAGAGATTCCAAGTGGAGAGCATGTTGTCAGTACCACTGCCACACCAACCATTTTCACCTAGTAGCTTTCCTGACTAACACTGCAAAGTTTATTTCTTGAGAAGGTGAGACTGTTTGAATTGGCAGAGAAGGTACTTACAACAAGAACCAACACACTGTGGCCTTCATCCCTGGAGTCTTCATTTAAACAGCAGATCAACAATTTCTTAACTACACGGTTTCACACATTGATTTGACACATTGTTTAGTATAACTTCAGAAATATTTTTCATTTGTTTTTCAGCTCAGTATGGATGGTTTCCTGTCTTTTGAGCCCCTCAGCCCTGATGGCTATGACCCGTCTCTGAACAAAGACATCATCGCTCCACTGTGGACTGACATTGACACTTACACCAGAGGAAACATCTCCTATGAGCAAGCCACCAGCGGTCTTCTTATAAAACTAGCTACAGAAGAAATTACTCTGATGTTCCCTGGTATTAAGTTCTCTGCTTCTTGGGTCTTGGTTGGCACTTGGGAGAAGGTGGAATTTGAGCCTGATGTGGGGGTAGGTGTTTCTCCTTATAATTCAGTCACTGCCAAGCAAGACATTCCTTAACACTTTTCTCCTCTTGAAGGAGGTGACTTTCCAAGTAGTCTTGGTCTCTGACAGTGAAAACCGCTCTTATGTCCTGATGAACTATGGGAACATTCCTACTACTCTACAAAGCTGGATGGTGAGGGGAGCATGTTCATGAAAGCTTTTTTATTTTGTAATGCTCTATTCCAAGATAATACAGTCACAAACATAGAATTCACTGTTGTTTTTAATTGTTCTTTATAGGCTGGTTATAAGACAGAGAACAACACCCATAATTTCACCATTCAGGCACCCAGTACCTCTTACCTACTTACAACTACTAATGTTGGAATACCTGGTCGCTGGGCTTTCCGTGTTGACGGTGCAGTTTCAGGTGAATTTATTGTTTTTGGGCAGCTTTGCAGCAGTATATAACAGTATATAACAGTATATAAGTCAAATATATAAATCAAATTTCAAGCACAAAGATATAGTTTGAAAAATAGCGCAACGCTCTGTTTGCATACCTCTTCAGACAAGGGCGCAGAAGTAATAGAAAAAAGGTGTTTAAGCAATTTGATAAAATTACCATAATTATTGTAAATTTCTTTCTTCTGTCCTTTAATAACTTTCTTCCAGCTCCATCTACGTTGTTCTTTCCCATGCTGCCTGGTGCTGTTCAACATGCTTTTACTTCTAATGGAAATTATACGCTTATCCAGCTCCAGCTCGCCCTTCCTTTCCTGTATTTTGGAAAACAACATTCACAAATATATGTAAGTAGAGTGACAAACAAAATGTTTAAAGATTTATTATAAATGTTTAAAGATAAATATTATTATTTAATAATCTGATTATTTGATGTTTAATTCTCTTAATCCGTATGACAACTGACCCTTTCTTTTCACAATACTAAGAAACGTGGAACAGGACAGAAGTTGATTTTTTTCAGACGGGTTTTGGTCAGGGGATATTGAGGCATGGCCATTGCAGAAGAGAACCATAAGCACCACAATTAATGCATCAGATTTTTGTCCTGGTGTCTCCAACTACTTTAAATGCCTGTAGTGTCACATGAAAAAGTTTGGGTGTCCAGGGTCAAATTACATGGATTATGACATTTTAAAGAACAATTATATATTATATGTGAATGTACATGTCTGTTTGTCTGCCCTGTGATAGACTGGTGACCTGTCCAGGGTGTTTCCTGCCCTCCGCCCAATAACCACTGGGATGGGCTCCAGCTCCCTCCATGACCCATAAGGACAAACGGCTTAGCCTTGATCTAGACCAAAACAGAAAATGATACAGTATTAATTACATTTGATCAGTTTCACTCATAGTTTAGACTAACACATTTGACACTGAAACAAAAGATCATATGGGTAAAAATTACATCTGATTGGGCAGATTTTATCATTTACACTTAGGGACAATAACTGCGATCTATCACACTTTCTTAACCACATTGTACTCTGGTCTAAGTGTGCTTGTGGGTTTCATTTGCATCTTGTTTTGTGCGAGTCTTGTGATTTTCTAAAGCATTATGGCCACGAGAGGCTTTGCTTTATCATGGTTTTCCAGTGTCTCGAAGTGGAGTATAATCACACTAACAAAACGACCTTCAGTGGCTTACTGATTTTATAAACCGTCAAAAATGTGGCACAGTAATCCATAATACAATCAATTAGTGCAGTCATATTTATGCATATGAAGTAGTTTACAATGACTTCGAAAGAGCTTGAGGGTTGTTTTAAAACTGCATCTGTCCATTCTATATTAAAGGCTCCTAAAAAGATAACAAAACAAAATCTTTCTTTTGTGCACATCATAGAACATCTGTAGGAAGAAAACAGTGGTTCAATCTGTGTTTGGTCTGTTTAAATGTATTTGGTCCATATGGCATTGATATATCTCATGAACCTCACTACAGATCATTTGTATAAGTTTGTATAGATGTGCACATCTCATTTGTCTAGATTGCAATTTGACTAAAGACCTCAGTGAAACATTCAAACAGCAAATGACTGAGATTTCAAATGTGTTTTGATTTACTTATTTATTCTGTTTTCTAATGATTGATTTCTCAGCTAAATGTTGACTGTTTACTGACCAGTACTGCACCTCAGAAAGATGAGTGGTAACATTTTCTGAGTTACTGAATGAGTCTTCAGGGTAACTTTATTACTCAGAATTCTGTTGTGATTCTTTCTTTTTCAGCTCAGTATGGATGGTTTCCTGTCTTTTGAGCCCCTCTACCCTAATGGCTATGATCTAAACCTGAACAAAGACATCATCGCTCCACTGTGGACTGACATTTACTCTTACACCAGAGGAAACATCTCTTATGAGCAAGCCACAAATGGGTCTTTGATTGAACTAGCCACAAATGAAATGAACAGGATGTTCCCTGGGTTGAACTTCTCTGCTTCCTGGGTCTTGGTTGGCACTTGGGAGAAGATGGAATCAGAACCTAATGTAGGAGTAATAGTCTGTCCTTAGAATTCAGTCACTGACTCCAAGCAGGACAAATTTTAAAATCTTTCTTCTCTTGAAGGAGGTGACTTTCCAAGTCGTCCTGATCTCTGACAGCAAAAACCGCTCTTATGTCCTGATGAACTATGGATCCATCCCTCCTGATCCACTATCATGGATGGTAAGAGGAGCATGTTCATTTATGTTTTAACTAATTGTACAATGCTTTATAATATTCCAATAAGAGGTAAGCAAATAAATAGCATTTACTATTATGTGTAATTTTATTTCATTTATCTTTTTTAGGCAGGCTATATGACTGAGAACCACACACATTATTTCAGCATTGAGGCACCCAGTACCTCTAACCTGTCTTCTACTACTAATGTTGGTATACCTGGTCGCTGGGCTTTCCGTGTTGATGGTGCAGTCTCTTGTGAGTTTACTGTTAATTTTTCTTTGAGGTGATGTGCAGCTTGACGCATTGGTGCGCTGTTACAATTAGAATCTGACTTATGTATCAGTTAGCTGGTAATATCGCCTAATATTGGTGACCTGCAGTTTTATTGGTTTTAAAAATATTAGCAACGACAAACCTTTCACTAACTTTTTTGCTACTGTATCTCAGGTTTCGAACTACGAATCTTCTGATGTTCGGGGGAAACACAGTAACACAGTTGTACTAATGGGGACCCTAATGAAACTCCATGTTTAATGTACAGTGCCTTGCAAATATATGTAACCCTCTTAAATGCAAATGTATTAAACTTTCCTAATTTGTCTGGATTACAATATGCAGTTAAAGTAAATTTTCAAAGTCAGAATTTACTATTTTTCACTAGATCTGGACACATTTTTGTTAATCCACCATTCCTCTGTTGTTTTGTCCTGCTGATAGGTGACATTTCTCCCAAGCTTTTTTTTTTACTGAAACTAATTGCAGCATCCCACTGTATTTTGCACTATACCTCCTTAAATTTTAACAAGATGCCCAGTCCCCATTTAGGAGATGCATCCCCAAAAGATGATGCTGCCACCCTCATACTTGTGTTTGTTTGATTATATTTTATTGATTATGATATTTATTTGATTATAACTCCATCCCCAACTGGTGTCTTTCTGAGCAACTTTTGGAGTCATGTCATATAAATATAACAATTTAGAGACAGTGCTCACATGTTTCCATGAGTGTCTGTCTTGCCAAACTGTTGGTGGGAAACTGTTCAGGAAAGCATTAAAAACTATCACACAATATCCAAGGATGTTTCTTTCCATCAGCCATTGCTGTCCACTGTCCTTCAGAAATTCAGTGAGCAGAAATAAGCAAGATTTTCATTTTGACCTAGTAGAACTATTATACTGAATTACTTCAAACAGCCGTCCCACAGTAAAAAACACGAGAGTATTCAGACCTTAGATATTTATAAGGATTATATTATTATATTATGATCTATTTAAACCCAAGGCATGAGATAGTAATAAGCTAAATATATATAAAATAATCATTTAAAAAGCACTAACTATTGGAAGTGTGACGATGCAACAGAATTCAGACGCTCGCGGATGAAAAATGTAAACAGGGCTTTATTCACGTTTGACAAAGGCGTGGTCAAAAAACATGTGTGGGTCGTAACCAGAAAGCAGCAAAATATCACCGAAGTGATCATAACCAAAAGCAAACAAAACCAAGGGAGTGATTAGAGGTCGTCGTGAAAAACCAGGCCAAAAAGTCAAAACATAGATCCAAAAACAGTCAGCAAAGGTACAGGAAGGGACAGGCAAAAATCAAGGTCAGTTAAACAAAACGGAGGTCATAACAGACAGTCGCAAATAGATCATAGAAACGCTCAGCAAGTTCAAATAGAAGCAATACCTCGCAACGACTAAGACTAAAGCCCGGGCTTATAAACTATACTAAATGAATCATATGACAACAAACACAGGTGCATGTATTTAGTACTCAGGTGATTGTGAGCGCTGATAGGTGCGTGCACGACCATCCAAAGTCATATGATCTCCCGAGGGATTGTGGGCAATGGAGTCCGTTCTGCACTCCGCGTCCAAGGGAAGTTGCTCAGTCACATGATCTCCTAATGCATTGTGGGAAATGTAGTCTGAGTCCACCTGAGGCGTGAAAGTAAGATGGTTCCAAATAATATTTAGATTTTTTTTTTTAAGATTTTTGAAAGATTGTGATTAGACTTATCATGATTTCAGTATCTAAATAAAAAACACCACAAAGAGTTCCATAGGCAGAGCCTTATTTTAGCCACAACCCTGCATTTTTAGAGCAGGAAGTCAGGAGCAGAAAGAAACTGCATCCCTGTCCCTCATGGCCACGTGGTGAGCAGTTAGATCCCATTGTTTTGAAGGAAATGTCTCCTTTTTCCTTTTTCATGTTTTAATGAAAATATTATGTGTGTTTTATGTGTGTACAACTGTTCAAACCTGCGTCTTCTGGTCATGCACTGGCTAGCATTTTTTAATTCTGCTCAAAATGACCTGAAATTGTCTTTTCTGGAAGTGTTATGTTGTTGTGTTATTGACAAAATACAATGTTTAGTCATTTATTTTAATAAAATAAACTTCACAAGGTCATTCAAAGGGTAACTCAAAGCAAAGTTCAAATCAGTTAAAAGCTGTAAAAACTATATTTTCAACTCTGTCTTTGAACCAGTTTGGTAGAATGATCCAGTAGGCATTACAACTGTATAAACTAACCTAGTAAACACTACTGTTACTGAACTGTATCCCATTGAATTGCAGTGGCAGGCCCAGAATTTCTAAACAATGAGAGCCTGACAATATGCATTGTAGTTATTTATGTTAAAGATTATTCAGTAATGGAGAACATGTTTTATTCTCACAGTGCCACCAGCACAGTTCTATCCATTTGGTTCGGGAGCAGGAGACACTGTTAATCCCCGCAGTGATGATGGAAGCTCACCTGCTATAAACTTATGGAGTCCATTCTCTCTGTACAGACGCACATACACTAAGCTATATGTGAGTGGCTATAATCATTATGAATTTAAATAATATCATTTTAATTTTGTATAATTATCATGTCTGATTTTGTTTTCTTGGCAGGTCAACAACAATGGACACCTGACGTTTGATCAGCTGTGGGACAGCTATTCACCCACTCAGTTCAGTGCCTATACTGGAAGAGATCTCATCGCTCCTTTCTGGACTGATATCGATAATCGTGGAACCGGCATTATCTCATATAATCAGTACACTTATGGCAGTGTGCTCTCACAGGCCACACGGGACATAAACCAGTACTTTCCAGGAGTGAACTTCACTGCCTCTTGGGTCTTTGTTGCAACATGGGATAAAGTGGCGTACTACAGCTACTCAGGCACGGTAAGATATAGAATTGATAGGAATAAGAGAAACCATGGTGAAACTGAAAGGCATGGCTGTTTTTGAGCATCTTGAATATGCTTAGAATTCTAATTTTGCCACTCATGCAACAGATTTTCACACCTTTCCAAGGAATGGCTTGTACGTGTTGAGTATTATCAGATATAAATCTGTTGCTCGTGGATTGCCATCACCATAGTATAGAGAAATGTAAAATAAAATTCAATATACAAAATTGCCATTACCATAAAAAAAAAAACATATATTGTCAGAATTATTAAACGCTTAAATATATTTAGGGTTGGGTGATATCCACCTTTTTTAACTTCAAACTGTATCCCAAAAGTACCATAGCATAATGGCACACAGAAACTGTGTAAAAGCATTTGTCTTTCAGTCAGTCATGTTCAGTTTCCTAACAAGGTAACCAAATAAGTGCACAATTTCAATCCAGCATTCAGTAAATGCCAAAACATGTATCTAACAACAATTGGGAAATGTTAAACAGTCCAGATAATTCTTAAAATTGAGCTGGCTAACATTAGCTTAGCTAGCATGTTAATAGCTCTGCTCCCACAGAGCAGACTTGTTTAAGGCTAACTGAAACACCAACACTAATTTAGATAATAATGACTGAATCTGTGGGAGAGAAGTTGAACAACTAAATCTGTTTGGCATTTGGTTCTGTAGCCTACTAGCTAACCTAACATTAGCTTAACAAGCAAACTGCAGATCCAGTCAGCACAGTACAGGTTCAATTCCAACTAACTCACAAGTGTAGGCCACAAAAGCCCATGTCTGAGAATGTGTCCTGTGCTGTCTGGAGCTCTAACATGTTGGCTAATGATTGCATAGTTGGCAGACCAAAAGTGCCACACGCCACATTACAGAGTCAGTTCCAGCTAACTGATGTTCACATCACACTCATTTAATGGATAAAGACTCGTATCTAAGAGTGTCGACTGACTGTTATTGAAGTGAATGATGAAATCGAACACGTCCTTTAGGCTGGGCGAACACTTCATGACTTTTAAAATCTTAACAGATTTCTAAAATGGAGAGCATCACAAACTTAACATCAGTTCGTCACAGAATTTCTTGTCTTTTTGTCGTAAGGGTGCTCACACTAGACGACAAGGCAAAGAGAGAGTATAACACACATAACGAGTTTAGGCTACGAATAAGACCTCAAACTCCCAGATCTTGTCAGAGATCACATGACATAAAGCTGAACTTACTGGACTGGACCTGTTTGTGCTTTTATGTGCAGCGAAAGCTCAAACTGGGGAGTAATATGGGGCTGAGAAACAATGATATCGCTGTGAAGGCTGGAGAAATGTTTCACTACAAACTGGCTGCTGACTTCTAACCGTAAAGAGAGTGCTTTGACATTTGGATCTATACATTATAAACATGATAACGGTTCTTATTTGCCTGTGTTTTACACACATCTCCTCTGTCTCCTCGCTTTGCTGTTCAGATGGTGTGTATGCACTTCTCTTCACCTTTCTCATCTCTTCTAGCTCTCCGATTGGCTGTTGTTTGAGTCAGTCATTGAGTAAATCTCTGACCTTCTCATACTGCAGGACGTGTGAACGTTTTGAGTCATTGATAATATCGGAGAGCTAAAGATTCACTCGTTTCTCAACTCACACTACCACATCATCCGCGCTGTCAGTCGCTTCTGATCAAGCTCCCGACCTGGAAAATTGCTTCAGATTGTGAAAATTTGACACAAGGGGCATATCGGGGTTAAAACCAGGCAAAAAATTGTGTAGCATGGGCCCAAACTTAGTGAGTATAGCTGTTAGCCGTTGCTAAGCCACTGTCATGCCTGGTTTTTCTTCAGTATTTTCTAGTCCTGATTTAGCAGCACATTAGAAAAAAAGATATCTGGCACAGTGGAGGTTGACAGTCAGCATCTGTTAATGTGTGTTGCAAGCTGCTACAGATTGGCACTGGCCTCTAGAAGCCTGTGAGGCATGGTAATGCTGACGGCCGTGTCAGGAGGATCATGGTAGGGGCACGCCTGCCAGAGGAGGGACTATTTGTGTTGTTTATCAGTTAAACATATATATGTTTTAACAATGTGGTTGTTAATGTGTTTCGTGTTGGGATCCAGTTTACCATCAGGGTTAAATGTATGGTTAATGATGACCTCCCCCACAAGTTCAGTGCTTTGTATGTGCTGTTTCTGCAGTTTTTTTAAAAAAAGAGCACTTTCGCAACAGAGGCATGGCATGGCATGTATCTTTGCCTATGTTTCACTGGTGTCAAACGTTGGATAGAGTCCCCAGAGGTCTGGTGAGGAGTGACACTTAAAGAAGCTTCTATGAGAGTGGAGTGACATCCGTTAAGTGGCAGTCGCAGGCTATAGGTCGAGTGTAGCATGGATGGCAGATAGTTTATTGCACACATCATCATGGGCTCGCCGAAATCTCTACTGCTATCAGGGTTGTTCACACACTGATGCTCATTTGAGGAGGAGCCCAAGATTTCAGGTCTCTGGTATGTTTTAAACATTTCCTTTACTTTCTCTTTTAGGAAACATCGTTTCAAGTGGTTTTGATTTCTGGTGGCAATTTTTCCTTTGTGCTGATGAATTATGGTGACATTGCTCCAACAAACTACAGAGTGGAGGTAAACTAATCTAAATATCTCCTCCATAATCTGTCTGTCCTCTCTATCTTGCTTCTAAACTTGTTGTCTCTTTAGGCTGGATATGACACAAACCTCACTGACTACTTTGTAATTATGTGGTCAGACAACAAGTCGACCATTCTCAATCTCAAGTTCTTGAGTAACGTCAACGTGCCAGGACGCTGGGCCTTCCTGGTAAACCAACCTAGTGATGCTATCACAAGAGGTAATGTTTTACTCTAAGGAGAGGTTCTCATTGCAGACTGAAAATACTGGTGTTCACTGAAGAAACTTGGGGTGTAACGAAATGCAAGTTTCACAATATGATTTGTATTGTTGTTGTTGCATCACAATACATTTTCAACACAGAATTAAAAAAGAAATGCTAATGTAACTCCAACACTTATGTATTTTTTCCATAATTCACTTTTTTTTTGGCATTTTCTTAAAGCATTTTCCATACTTTCAATAATAAAGGATTGTCTTAATGCATTTTGAAAGGATAGCTTGCACAAGTCAATTTCTAAAATAAAATAAATAAATAAAATATTAAAAATAAATAAAATATTAAATATGATAATTAGAGGTGGATCCTAAAACCAAATGAAGGTGCAAAATAGTAGCTAATAACATCCCTGTGGAACAAGTTATTTGTTTTGCCTGTTCAGAATCATCACACAGCAGCTTATTAAATTTTTTCCGGTCCACCTTAAGTAGACCAGTAGTAACATGTAGCTGCTGCATTTAAGGTAGAAAATTCAAAAGAGGTGATGACTACTTTTTCTCCTTACTCTGATAATTGACACATTTGGGTGATGTCTTCACAAATCAATTAGCATATTTGAGGTATTCTTTTGATCCACTACACTTTGACCATCGACATTCCTCTCCACAATTATTGGCACCCCTGGTAAAAATGAGTAAAAAGGGTTAGAAGAACTCATCTTTTGGTGAATCAGCTTATCTGACACTAAAAAATGAGGAAAGTCCAAGTTGATTCATTCACTGAATCCAAATTTACTCTAAAATTAAAAATTCCTCATGAAGGACTAACTGTGGAGGAAACTGTTATCGTAATTTTACTCAACTGAGAGACCTCGCCAGGTAGGTTAAGCAATTTTTTACAAAAATGGTTATTACTTTTACACAGAGCATGGACTGTGTTACAAAGAACTATACAAAGTGTTCGTAGTATCACACCTTTATAGCATGAAATGTAGCTGTATTCATGACCCCCATATTGAAGAAAATATATATAGTGATACTGTTAGATGACATTGTGATTGCATTTTCCACAGACCATGTTCTAGCAGCGCGACTGAAAGTCCTGACAAGCTATAACCTGACAGACACCAACAACCACATGATCATTTTGCAGAATGTAAGTTAATCCCTTATTTCTTATTGCAAACTTTCTAATAAACATTCAATGTAGTTCTACACTGTTACTTCTCCTTTATCATTGCATTCAAATCTCTTTCCTGCTCCTCAATTATAAAAATATTGGAGAAATTCAAAACAATATTTCTTTTCAGCTTCAGGATGAACTGAGGAGGAGAGGTGTGGCATCCACTGTAAGAATGAAAGTGAAACGCATTCAGAAGAAAAGTCCATGATTGTTGATTCTGTGAGCCCAAAGAATCTGGTTATACTTCTCTGTGGGATAAATTCTCAGAATATATTTGCTTAATTAATTAATGATATTGTGGTATTTTGGCATGTAATACTGTACCCTTTCTTGAAACTACTAACTAAAATGTAGTATTGATTAAACTGCATTATTCTACATTGCAGAAACAAACTGTGTAAAAGAACAACATATTTAGACTTTAGTCCGTTTTAAAATTTAAAATGAATTATATACAAACTGTGCTTTTGATTAGGCACAAATGATGCAGGGTTGTAGATTTTTAGCCTGAGGTTGGAGTTTCTACAATTAGCTTTCTACAGTTTTCTCTTTTCTTTAAGTCTTAAGAACTGTATTCACTTCTATGGCAGATAGTTGTACATGACTGCCTACTAGGGGTGTAAATATGCATCATGGGATTGTGAAATCACAATGTAAACTGTGACAGTTTAAACGCCAACGTTTGCCATCGTTCAGCACCAACTACAACCTCACTCCAGCAGTCCTCCTGCCTCCCAGCTCTACTGTCATTACTAAGCTGTGCAAGAACATTATAGTCAATTTTCTTCATTTGAATTTTACATAAATATCATGAAAATGGGTTGAAATCATATCATTTACATACATGAAATAAGTCTGTTCATTTATTTTGGGGGTAATCTTGGGTTTAAGAGAGTTTCTCTGTTACCACTGTAAAGTGTATACAGCAAGTACATCCTCAGCACACTGGTTGGTTTAATTCTGTAGAACAGTTTTCCTGTACTGGTAGTCCTCTGACTCATTGGCTTTGAGGTTAAAATGATGATTGTTTCCATGTACCACCCATAAAAAAGTTATTTTTCCATGTTTTTGTTTTCACTAAACAGTCATAATGGAGGTAATGGAAGAACAATTGAATAAAGTTCAATGAGAACACCTTGCAGTCTGTGGATTTTGTAATTACCTGCACCCACAAGGCACAACCAAGCACTACTGCTGGACTATTTGTGTGGTACAAGGGCCCATATGTGGGCTAGCATAACTTCTCACTGTTATAACTCCAACATCAAGATCAGTTTCATAGGAGTTGCAGGTTAATTTATTTTTACTAAATAATAACTCTTAAGAATAGATTAGATGTACCTCTTAACAGTGTCAAAACCCAGGCGTAAGAAACTCAGCCCACCTCAGTCAAGAGCCAACTTGCTATGTAAGATTTTTTGTTAAAATTGAAAGAAGCATTTCAGAAGAAATAAAACCTAAAATATGGTGTGCGTTAGGGCTGGGAACTATATTGATATTTATTGTTCTCATGATAAATTACATCACAGTATGATACAATATGCTTTTCTGACTATATTGTGGATAATGTCGGTACATAAAGAACACTGACCAACTGCATATTTTAATTAAAAAGAGAGCCTAATAAGCTATTTTCGACTGAATTTAGCACCGCGCAGGATGTGAAATGTTAAAAGTACTTAATTGCATTTATAGTTTTCGAGAGTATTTTTTTTAAATGTGGCAGTGCTGTGCCTTTTTTGTGTTACATCTTATCAGATTTCAGAAAAAAATAAAATATTGTGGCATACCAAGTATCATGAAAATATATCATAAGTATTATGATATATTTATGATGTGTTGCTCAGCTATAGTGTCACGCGCTGCTGTAAGTTACCCTGAAAAAGGCGTCGGGTCAAATTTAGTGGAATTTTTTGGGACCACGTTGTATACACAGGCTCAAAAAGAAGGTCCAACTTGTTAGGTTTCAAATGCAAAATCAACATTATACTACTGAAGATATCATGGCAATAGTAAATGATCCTCAGAAGACACATCCCTCATATGTGACTGTATGAGCACATTAGCTTGTAAACCAATTAGAAGAAAGCAAGCTTAAACTTAAAATAATTAATTCTGAGAACAAATAGAAATTGAGCAAAACAGAGCCTCTCCCAGACTAAAGCAGTCATTACAAACTAGTTCAGAGATGTTGACTTTAGCAGAGAAAGAAAGAAGCCAGCCCATATGAAGAACATACTATATGCTTGATGTGTTAATTTTGGGTTATATGTTTTGCAGCATTTATATCACTTGGTTCATTTTACTTTCTAATTTAATTGCAGAGGGCAGGGCAAAGAACCACCCCAGAGATATCTTTATGGTGTGTTTATATTTATGTGTGAGCAGAGGGAGAGAGAGAAAGAGAGGCATTAGCTGTGGTAGAAAACGAGCTGGCCAACAACAGCTAGAAAATAAAGCACTACGTCTTGTGCGAAAGCAGTGTCTTTTTAATATCAATGAATGCTACAAAATTCTTCATTCATTTTCAAAGGCATTAATGAAAACTGTGTTATTATCAGCTCCCAAATCTGCCTCTCGAAACCTGCTGAGATCTCCATTTTTCACAACTTAACTTCAGCCTGAGGGAACAGCTGTATAGCTAGCTGATCCTGGCTAAACATGTGCTGTGTTTACAAGTTCCGAGTTTTCAAATAAAATAATGACTATTTATTATTGTTAAGTGTTAAGTTTTTTCCGACTCCTGGTGACCATAGATAATATGGTGACCATAAATAGTGTTGCTCCAGATTATCCTGCCTTCTCTTTGGATCAGTAACACTTTACAATACTGTTAAGTAGTTATTAAGTAACTAATCAGGAATGAATAAGTAGTGCTGCATTAACACTTAAGTAACTGCTCTTAACTACCAAGGACTACTAGTTAACTACTCAGTAGGTAATATTGAACTGATGATTAGGGTACTTCACTATTAACTAAACAATAACTACTGAATCTCATAGGGAATTAGTATGGTTTCTTAGAATAACTACTCATAAATTACAGATCAATTCAACATAAATTGCTCAATAGCTGAGTCTGACAAGGTTCCTGCTGAACTACTAACTGATGTAGTGTATTCCAACACTTCTAACAGTAGTGAAATACACTACACAGTGTCCAGTCTCTACAGTATAATGGATTATATCCTCCATTTCTATTCACAGAAACAGGTATCCTCAGAAAGGGCTGCGGGCATCACACCACACTGTGCTGAATGGTGTCCCTCATGTGTTTGTTTTGATCAGAAACCTTAAAAGACTAATGCACATCTTCATATTTGGCAGTGTGAACCAATTTGCACATCAGCCTACAAATGGGACAACTGCTAAAATACTAGAGTATTCAGTAGACCAGACTGCTTACCTCTCACCTTTAGAAAAGAAAACACCATTCTTTTCTGTAGGAGCATGTGTACCAGTGTTTCCTCTGAACAGTAGTTCTACTTTAAAGTCCTCTTGAGGGCAGGATCAGTTGAAGAGAGGGCTCACGGAAATATCTGACAGTGTATGTGTCCTGCTTTCAAATTCATTTGGTTCTAAATATTAGCAAGCGATTATGTAATTACTGTCTGTTAGATAATGAGTGAAGTCTTGCTGTTCTTCATTAGGAGTTAATGATGATCAGGAACAATATAAAATGAAACAATGGTAACTAATTATTAATGAACTAGGAGTTAATGATGATCTGGAACAGTATAAAGTGAAACATATGGTAACTCATTAATGAACTAGGAGTTAATGATGATCAGGAACAGTATTATAAAGTGAAACACATGGTAACTCATTCGTTCCTGCTTAGTTCCTCATTAGTTACTTAAGCAGGAACAAATGAGTAGTGCTGCATTAATACTTAAGTAACTATTCTTAACTACCAAGGACTACTAGTTAACTACTCAGTAGGTAATAGTGAACTAATGATTAGGGTACTTCACTATTAACTAAACAATAACTACTGAGAGAATTGCTTAGTAACTATGGTTTCTTAGAATAACTACTCATAAATTACTGATCAATTCAACATAAATTGCTCAATAGCTGAGTCTGACAAGGTTCCTGCTGAACTACTAACTGATGTAGTGTATTCCAACACTTCTAACAGTAATGAAATACACTACACAGTGTGCAGTCTATAATGTTGGATTATAATGGATTATATAATGGATTATATCCTCCATTTCTATTTACAGAAACCTGTATCCTCAAAGAAGGCTGGGGGCATCACACCACACTGTGCTGACTGGTGTCCCTCATGTGTTTGTTTTAATCAGAAACCTTCAAAAGGCCAATGCACATCTTCATATTTGGCAGTGTGATCCAATTTGCACATCAGCCTACAAATGGGACAACTGCTAAAATACTAGAGTATTCAGTAGACCAGACTGCTTACCTCTCATCATTTGCCCTGCAAGGCTAAATCAAGTGGCAATAAACTAAAATATCATTATATCTCTCTTAGATAAAAGTAAGAAAGTAATAATCTTTCAAACAACAATCGCATGAAGACAGAAAAAATGCAAATATATGTATGCTTCTAGATTACACAGGAACTCAGGCAAATTGATTTATATCCATGATCACTAGCTGTCATGAGCTGTCTATGCCAAAGCACCGCGATGTGAAGTTTGTAAAATGAGAGACTTATAAGACACTGAAGTTAAATAATTCTCAAAAACATATGATGGTAATGGAGGCTTAAAGTGCCAATGAAGACTGACAGCGTTTGGACCCCTATGATTGCAGCTTTATTAAACTTTTATTTTTGGGCATTCGTTGTTTTTTGAATTTGTAACCTTTGTCATGTGTCATGAATCTTTCAACAGGAGTGCTGGGACAGGGTGAAAGGTCACACTGCAATTCTCCTTATAAGGTTATAGAAATGTATAATAAAACTCTGGGCACAACAGCAGGCCCAGGACCTGCTAAAGAGATTAAAACTCATAAATATAGACCAAAAAGAGAAAAACCTCATTCTACCGGACCACTAACAAAATAAAGAAAGTCAGAAAAAATTTCCTTCAATGCAGTTTGTGCAAGGACTACAAGGATCTAATTTTCCTTATCAGTTTTGCCAAAAGCAGGTTTAGGTCATTGAACACATTTAAACTTGATACCAGGAAAATTGTTTCATTGTGAATTTGTATGGATATGAATATGGACCACTGTTCTTCTGTCTGAGGTTAGTGATCTGCAGTTTGTTCATTTTTTATGGTGATGGCAACTACAGACTCTGAAACATGATCTAAACTAAGCTTCATTATTTTACTTTTACAGACCTGAATATTTTACATCTATGTGACAATGTTCAGAGTGTTCAGATCAAATGCCTGCAGTATCTCTGAAGACGGTAGCAATCGTATTAATGATAAGTATGGTCCTTCAATGCCTTGTTCCATAGCTGGCTTGGTCCACTGGAAATTCTAGTTTGCTGACTATGCATTTACTTTCTTTCAACATTTCATAGGTGGATTTACGAAACGACAGGTAATTACAATGTACAATTGACTTTAGGCTTTGCCCATGATGCTTTATATAGTGTATTCATCTTTTACTTGTTTTGTTGAACTTTGTTAATTTGTTTATTAGCTAAGTTTGTGTATGATTGCCATGTTGATTTGGGTCAACTGGCGACCAACCAAAGCTCCCCATAGTCTGCTTCAAATACTGTACGATCTAGGAGCTGAAAGTACTTATATATGTTAACTTGGGAAGCACTACAGCAATGTATTGAATTTGTACCATCTTTATTTCAAAGAACTGCATT